GGGGTGCCGACAACCCCCGACCGGTAGGTGCCGACCAGCCGACCGGTCGGCGGGTCGGCAGCCAACCAGTCAGGGGTCGCCGACGGTCGGCGTGTGCAACACTGGTTGTCACCACCCTAAAAAGAAAACACACCTTTTTTTTTTGTGTGTTTGGCGCACAGGGGGGAATTTGCTTTGGCAAAAGAAAGCCGATAGGTACTGGTGGTTCAAGTCCTAGAATTCTGAACATGGGGGAGAGAATGTAGTGCAGTAGAAGCCTCAAATCAGACATGGACTGACCTGATCATGGGTGGACTGACAACGCGGTGCAGATTTGAACTCACTCCCAGCAGGACGCGGTCCATGCATGGAAGAAGCCTGTGTGCACGTCGTGCATGGTAAAGTGAGGTGGGAGGAGAAGGAAGAAGAACAATTGTAGTACTGGGAAGTAATAGTCTCTCTTCCACCTTGGCCTCCCGTCCTTCTCTCTCTCTCTCTCTCTCTCTCTCTTCCACCTTGSCCTYCCGYCCTCTCTCTCTCTCTCTCTCTCTCTCTCTCTCTCTCTCTCTCTCTCTCTCTCTCTCTCTCTCTCTCTCTCTCTCTCTCTCTCTCTCAGAAGAAAAWCATTGMCKAGWAKKGAAGAAGGCAAAAAGTGGAAGTCTCTGTCTCTCTCTCTATTAGTGACAAATGTTTACGCGTGAAAGCACCTTCAAGCACTTTGAAGAGGAAGACTGGCTATGGCCAGTGGCAAACCACGAGGCTATGGCTCCAGGTACGTGGTCTCTCCACCACCTCTACTGAGCAATACCCTAACTCTCCCCTACTGCTAGATTCATTGAGCCAATCCAGCAGCTCGGTAGCAGTGTGTGAATGGACCAAACCCCCTCCTGGGCTAGTCTTCTCTATGTACCACTGGACTTGAACTCGTTCCCTGACCTTCCACCTGAGCTGTATGATTGGACCGAAATCCGGTGGCTCTGGTGGAGGGCTGTGGTGCTGGCCACCTTCCCCAGGCCCAAAGCGCCCTGCTTGGGTCCCCAACTCACTACGGACAAACAAAGGCCCAACCATAAACGGACAAGCGAAGCCAAAACTTTAAATGGTATCCGCCAGAAGTCTGCACATGAAAAATTGTGGCTGCGAGGACAACATGAAGTAGCATACGACAGAACTGAACTGACACCAACAGAATATGCAGGAAACAAAATAAGACTGAACTTCACCTGCCTTACTCTCACTCACCCAGGCCCCTGTGATGGCTAAGGCCCTGTCTGCCGGTCGTAGGCCCCAAAAGGAGCCATGTGGACAAGGGGTCCCCTGATAATGTCAAATGCGCTTGTGAATATGTTCTTTTCCAGAGTCCACCCCCGGTTGTAAGTGGGGCACTTGGGTGTGTGATACTTCTGAAATTTTGTATGTGGGCCAGTTGGGCGTTCTGTTTCTTGACGCTATCTCAGTATGGTATGCTTTACAAAGTGCACTTTTGATACTCTGCCTTTTTTCTGAATAGGACATTCCGACATAGTGATATAACTGAGCAATTGTCTGGAATTTTTGGCGAGTGCCTAGGACCAACTTGTAGGAGTTCCATCCTTTCCTGTTGAGGAAGCAACCAGAACAAGGAATGAAATAGGAGATCACTCCAGGAAACTTTCAGAGGGAACTTGGTCAAGAAGAGTAATGTAGTTCTCGATCTCAGTATTTTAGGATTGAATTTTGCATCCTTCAGGACATCAGTTGAAATTGGAAGGATACAGAGAGAGGAGATTAGCATGGCTCCTGTGCAAGGATGATACGCATAAATCGAGAAATAGTGGTCCAAATTTTTTTTAACCTTTGGCAGAGGTTATTAAGGAGTGAAGATAAGTGCTTGCATTTCACGACTGTTTTTATGTTCGCCCACCTCAACCTTGAGTTCCTGTTTCATACTCTGTTGATGTGATGATAACACTCAAAAAATTCTGAATGTCCTTCTGTTTGGCATTGCAGGACAGGATCAAGGACAATCAGAGGACTGGCAGATGATGGGATTAATTCTCTCGTGAGGTACTACCTGAACAACTTCAGGGATGGGCTCAGACAGGTACTGCTCAGTGGTTGACTAATCCAACCATGTCGGTGTGCTGAGGAGGAGATTGGGATTACAGATCAATGGAAAAGGCAATTAAGGGCAAATCTGAAATTTGTACTTGAAATCATGGAATGCAAAGAGATGATTAAACATTCTGAACCGGACTGATGCTCCCCAGGATGGACAAGGAACCAGGGGCATAAGGACCTGCTTTTAAAAAAAGACGATTAAACATTCTATTCAATACGCGTGCTTTTGGGCGGTCTGAAGCTAGTGGAGGCTGTGCGAGTTATTATAACAATCAATGTCTCGTGTTCCACTGCCTTGATATGGGAAATGGGTCGTGCTCAATGAGAGATGGACTTCGTTCGTGATGAGATTGGGCTTAGACCTGAATGTGGACCTCACTTGAATTGCACCGCCGTGGATGTGGTTTCCCCAGGACTCCTTGGACCTGCTCATGGGAAGCTATGTTGTGAATGAGAGTGAGCCATCACCGTTCGCACTGGAAGGTCTTGAACGCTTTGCGGTAAGGATTTTTGTCATGCTGACTTGTTTGATGGTGTCTGGGCATCTCGAAGGATGCTGTCTTTGAGAGACTCATCAATAGTGGAGTGTTGTCAGAGATGCTGAATTGGAGGCCATATGGCAATATGGTTACCCTGGAGTGCTTGTAAGAAATGAGGTGCTGCAATTTGCTATGCACATTGCTACTGTCTTCATCCCAATAGAACACGTGGTTATTATAGCTGCATTTGAAGCATCATTCAGTCCAGATGCAGAGATAATGACCGGGCGTTCTATTCGGGTGAAGATGGTAGACATTGCTAGCTATTGTTTGCAAGATTGAATAATGGCAGAGGGAGTTCAAAGTGAGGTAAACTTAGATGTGGGTTGTGGCCTGTTTTAGGGGCCCTCATCGTTTGACTTCCTAACTTGAAAATACGGTTGATACGAAGTATTGCCTTTTACACCTCTTTGAACCAGTGCTGGTACCCGGATGGACCGGGGGACCTTCGACCAACCAGGAGCCATGCCAATCTTCTCTCTGTGTATCCTTTTAATTTCAACTGATGTCCTGAAGGATGCGAAATTTGATCCTAAAATACTGAGATCGAGAACTACATTACTCTTCTTGACCAAGTTCCCTCTGAAGTTTCCTGGAGTGATCTCCCATTTCATTCCTTGTTCTGGTTGCTTCCTCAACAGGGAAGGATGGAACTCCTACAAGAGGGTATTGCAAATTGGCTGTGACCCAGAACATGGTAGTACTTGTACCTTGACAGGATTTCTGCTCCCTTGGATCCCGGAGTGGATGTGACCGAAAATGTACGGTATGGAGTCGACTCTTTACTAGGCCTTAGGATTCACAGTTACAAAAAAACCGTTCGGGTTTACTATGATCTTGGAGGTTTTCTGTGAAACATCGGAATCTGGATAATCGCATATAAATTATCACAAAAGCTGCTTTATGTGCTTGAACTCGTGTAAACCAAAAATTAATTAACAAATATGATGCGAGACCTACTCCTTCCCATCCTAAAAACATTTGAATCAAGTTATCCCCGGTAACTAACATGAGGATAAAAAATAGCACATAAATTGAGGCAAAAAAGGATCCTCAGACATCTATGAGATTGAATAAATATGTTGTTTCAAGAACTCTGAACGGCTGGAGTACATAGGCTCATATTTTCCACCCGACCGTTCGTCCTGCGTCGCTGCCCACACAGTGCTAAATGAAAAATATGTAAGGCCAGGAAGAGAAAGAACTCCAACAAAATAATATCAATGTACCTGGACCGAATGAAAGCTCTGTGCATTCATTTTCTGACGACCTGCAGAAGGTCGTTCCAGGGTGGCGGCAACATGCTGGAGTCCGTCACTTGGGTTCCATGGGGGCTACAAGTGAGATTCTGGAGTGTCACTATGTCACTGGGGCTGGAAATGGCCTTAGGGCAGCAGGCAGACAAATTTTGAAGTTGTGAAGCCTCTGAGCTGGCCGACGGCAAACTGGCAGGACAAGAGTCGCAGAAACGGGGGCGGACTTTGCAGGTGCACGCACGCAGATGTCCTGTCAGTGGATGTGGGTGAAGCCTAAGATACGACGTATTGCCTTTTGCACCTCTTTGAACCAGTGTTGGTCCCCGGATGGACCGGGGGACCTTCGACCGACCGGGAGCTTACCGGTCCAACCGGGCGGCTCACTGGCTCGGCAGGTCCCCGGTTCAATTTGGCGCACTCCTTTTGGGGAGCTGTACGGCGGATTTTCGGGCGTCCCTGTCCCCGCCCAGCTTCTGGGAGGCCATCGCCTCCAGTGAAAATAAAAAATGGGCCCTACCGGAGCCCGTTTTCTTTTGAGAAATGGTCAACCTACGCTGCCGATCGGCGCAGATCGACGGTGGAGATTGATCGTGCGTTTCCAAAAGAAAACGGGGTCCGGTAGGCCCCCGTTTTCAAATTTGAAAACGCGGTCGATGTCGACCGCAGATCTGCGGATCTGTGGCCGAAATCAGCTCCGTTTTGAAATGTGAATCGAGGCGTGGTTTTGCGCTGCCTCTGCCCCTCCGCCCGGCCTGCCCCATGCTACAGCAACATCACACAACGTTGACGTCGTGCCATTCAGCATGCACGTCGACGTCGTGTGCTGCCACCACACGACCAGTGCCAACGCCCCGTCTCCAGCCCGCCATCGGCCTCTCTGTGCAGCTGCCTCTCTGGTGTAGTAAATTTCCAGTAACAATTGCACCTAGTGCCTGCACCTAGTGCTTCATCGCAACAGCCCCCCATAGCCGCGAAGATTAGTCCACCAGCGCCCCTCCTCTTCTTCTTTTATTTTTCCTTCTTCTTCTTCTTCTTCTTCTTATTATTATTATTATTATTATTAAGCTTAAAAGACTCTGGTGTAGTAAATTTCCAGTAACAATTGCACATAATGCCTCATTATTCCCTTTCATGTGATCAAATTTTATAGTAAGTAGCTGCTCCAAAACCTTCCAAGGAGTTACCATAGAATAAGGACCAGTAGAACAAGCATGTATCTTATTGTCTACTTGGTGAATAAGCTTTAATATATATGCTTTTCCAACCGTAATTGCATTCCCAAAAGTATTTGGTCAAATTAGAAAAAATTATAGAAGAATCTTACCAGGAAGTAGAAGAAGAAGAAGAAGAAGAAGAAGCAAAAGAAGAAGAACAACAAGCAGAAGAAAAGAAAGGAGGAGGAGGAGGGGGAGGAGGAGAAGAAGAAGAAGAAAATGAAGAAGAAGAAGAAGAAGAAGAAGAAGAAAAGAATGCCCAATCTCTTCTTCTTCGTCTTCTTCAATCTCTTCTTTTTCTTCTCCTTCTTCTTCTTCTTCTTCTTCTTCTTCTTCTTCTTTGTTTTGTTTGTTTTGGTGTCTTATATCCACTAATGAATCAAATCAATGTGGAAAAGAAATCGCCCATTTGCCTTCTGTTCTGTGTGAATGACATTCACGTTTGTTTGTAGGCAAGCCCACTGGTTAAGTACCGCTTTCTCTGATGGAGACTCTAATCATTATTAGTATGCACAATGTGCATCCTCGGACTGCGAATTCGGGGCTTTTCTTTTGCCAACATATATTAAGAGACATTGGTGATCGTTGCCCCCAAGTTGAGGGCAATGCAATTTAAGTAAGAAAAACGGATTACTTTCTTGACTTTAATCAACAACAAAATAACAACAATTATGTTTGAATTTCAATGTTGTTGTTTGTTTCTTTGATGGCTGGAAGTTCTTCAAAGTATGAAAAGCTGGAGGACTTTGTACCATCCATTCAAGTGTAGTTGAATTTGGCTCAACCGCCCAAGGTGCTTGCAGAGCGCGCACTTCACTGGTTAAAGTGAGATAAATAACCCCAAAAAAAAACTAAAATTCCTACAACGTAAAGATAAGAGTCAAAACTACTCGGTGCATTCCTTCCAAGCGTCTGGATAATCCGGAATGCGGTGTGGCATGCTCGCAAGACCTAAGAAATGCATAGGAAAGAAAGTCAAATTCAACCAAAGAAAGTAATCCAAAAATGAATTTGACCTAAGGTTTGTGGATATTGAAGTCCAGAGATTTTGCCTATCCAATAGTGGAATCCTGCAAATAGAGCGAGTACGGCTCCCATAGAAACTACGTAATGAAAGTGTGCTGCTACATAACAAGTGTCATGTAGAGCAATATCAAGACTAGAACTAGCTAATACAATTCCAGTAAGTCCTCCTATGGTAAACAAGAAGATGAATCCTACAGAGAATAACATAGGTGTTTTTAATTGTATTGAACCTCCCCACATAATGGCGATCCAACAAAATATTTTGATTCTAGTTGGCACCGCTATAGTCATGGTTGCTCGGGTCAATTCAACCACTAGTTTCCTAATGGCATTGGACTATATCTTCAACTAGAGAGATAGAATGGTTGCTGGGCATATAGCCTCTAAGGATCCTACTCGTTGTAATCAACGATTCCAAATATTCAACGTAATGACAATTGAATTACAACTTTGGTTTCCTGCTGATTGCCCCGAATCTTGGATTGTTCCTCAACGTGAGAATTAGGAGGACCAAGATTCATAAGGGTTCCCAACAAATGGCCGAGTGGTAAGAGACAACTTTACAGCTCCCCCCGACTCCGAAGAATCTTCGTCTAGACCTACAGTGAACATGTGATGTCGTTCTCCATGAATTTATCCATGGTATGGACTATATCTTCAACTTTCCTGCCAGCTTACGCTATGGCGCGTGCCATGCCATTTGTGCAACACTAAGAGGTGACAAAAGTTGCTTCACTTGTAGTCTTTGACGCTCCTCTTTGATCAAACTATAGCGAGCCTGCTGATTGACCAATCAATTTGGAACTTCCAACTCTTTCCAGCATATAGCGAAGTGATTGAATTCTCATGTTGCCATGAGAGGGACCCATCTTGAACCCACACAATAAATCAAAGAACTTCAATACTTATCATAGATAAGGGTCGGGAGTTGTGTTTTTCGGCCCTTCGAACCGCACGTGATAGTTTCCCATCATATGACTCTCCGCCACGAATCATCGTTCGATAATGTTGTCGATAAACTAGAAGGTTTATATAGGACTACGCCAGTCTCAGCACATTGAAACTGTGGATCAAATTTCTTCAGCATGCTTCTTTTAAACTTAGTGCGATATTTAAGCGCTAAGGTCAATGCACAAGATTCCCTCATTAAGTGAACTATCGACCATAATGATGATCGATTGTCCACGAAAGAGTAGTAATTCAGGATGCCGAGTATTCTCAGATTGTAGAATCTTAATATGTCAGCATGATCCATGGGGACTATTCCACGTTTTGCCGTGGGTATAAAGTGTCCTTTAAAAAATCCCTGTTCTCGCAGTGATTCGACGGTTTCCTGATGGATGCATGCAACACCAATCTTTTCCTTCTTTCATACCTTCTGCTTTTACCACACGCTATTTGGGTACCTAGGAAGAAGAATCCGGAATCAATATGTGATATTTTAATTTCTTTTTAACTCTAGTCCGAGCATACTTAGAAAGGTCGATATAAGATCACGTATCTCAATTGCGCCAGGAAGAGGGTCGGTAATGCCTATCACAATGTCATCTGCGTATCGCACATAGCTAAGACGTCGAAAGTTCGYGTCTGCCACTTCGTGCTTGTTGTA